ATGATGATTAAAAATGTTTCAAATGATGATTCTCAAACTTTAACATGCACAAGAACCATAAGGGAAGCCTATTAAAATCGTAGATTCCCAAATCTCATTCCCAAAGACTCTTATGTTTCAAATCATTTCCTGTTATCATTATTAGGAGAAGGAGTAAATCAAATTTAGGAAAGATGAGACATACCAGGGCCTGGGACTGCACTGATGTGTCTTGCAGAGAAAGGACTTGACATAAGGTAAGGCAGCTTTGTCCTTCCTCAGGGATACCCCACCCCCAATACGCCCTGCGTTCTTTCCTTCCATAAATACTTATTGTATGCCCACCAATGGCCAAGTATTAGGGCCTGGATTTAAACTGGTCAACAAGATGTATCAGATGCTTTGATATCAGAGCACTTAGATTCTACTTGGGGGGATGGCAGGCAAGAGACAAGTAAACTTTAAGATAATTTCAGATATTGTTAAGTATTATAAGGAAAATAAAACAGGCTGGTATGATAGAGAATGACTCGTGAGAAGGGGGCTATTTAAAGAGTGTGGTACACAAGAAGATGATATGTGATCTGAGGACTAAATGACCATAAGGAATCAACCATGCAAAAGATCTTAAGTGAGAGCTTTCCAGGGAGATGAAACAGCAAGTGCAAAGGTCCTGAGGCAGAATGAGTGTCCAAGGATCAGCAAGGAGGCCAGAATGCCTGAAACTTGAGAGGGAGCTAGGTCAGACCATCTGCTAGGTACAATCTGGGCTTTGGCATAAAAGTATCTTGGGATTACTCCTGTGGGAAGGTGGAGGAATACTCCTGGTTTCAGAATTAAGGAAGGTTAACTATTCAGTAAATGTTAAAATAGTTTAACTTCTCCAGTTAAAAACACCCACGTTATTGAAACTCTTCTCCCATAAAACACAGTTCATTTCATGATTCCATTTGGTTGATGCTTTGTGATAACACAGTTTTGTCATCATTGGCAGATTACATTTTGTAATACTTGAGCACTGAAAATAAGCTCACTTTAAATTTCTTTGAGATCCAAATTATTTATCATTCATTGGGTGCCTCAAATATTATACAACAGGGTCTAATAAATGGTGTAAACTTATATTTGAGAATGTATATACCTCTCTAAAGGAAGAATTCTTATGCCATAATTTCAACATAAGTTATATGGCATATACCTTTTTTTCCGGTTTTGAATTACTTTTCAACTCTTGCATTGACTTGTATTATCATTCCAACTGGACATCTACCAATTAATAATGATAGTACTATTACCTCTAAGCAGTTTGGTTTTGTCTGAATAACTGAGTGCTTAAGGAAAGAAAGAACCAAGGGCAAGCATGTCACCGGTACGTGTAAAATCCATTCTTGGGGACTACTACCGAAGCGAGGAGATAGCAGCTCAGCTTCAGGCCCCATGATCACCGCTCTTTCACAAGCCACCTTAGAAGAGGGCAAGCCAGGTGACAAGTGGGCCTTCTGTGAAAGGGCTCTGGTCCACTGGAAATGGGAATCAGCTCACAGTTTCATTTCACAGCGTCCACCAGATGGCAAATGACTTTATCTACCTGGAGCCAACCCAGACTGAACACATAATGTGCTTCATGCCCCCTTCCACTCTGCTGGGAGACTTGGAGCTTTCCTCTGAGGGTTGCTTGATTTAGTGAGTGAGTGAGTGTGTGTGTGTGTGTGTGTGTGTGTGTGCATGTGTGTTTTAGTTTGATTTTACATTATGCTGCAGTTCTAAAAGCAGAAGTTTCTCCAAGCCATGAAGATGACTTCTTTGCTTAGATCTGGAAGATCTGATTAGAAATCAATGGCTTCCAGAATCGGGGACCAGGAAATGGCAGGATGCAGATACAGTAGCTGCAGTGACAGACATGTAATGAGATGGAAATGAGTTGGTGGAACATTTGTGGGAAAAGGTCAGGGGAAGGATTGGGAATGAAGAGAAAAAACTCTACCTAAGAGAAAATGAAATGGTTTCATTATCACAAGAAACTCCAAGTAGCCTTCACTTACTTAGTCATACTGGAATTACAATTTCCGCTAGCATCGTTTGTGAAAGAGGAAGTAGGGAATACGACCATGGAAAGTGATATTTTAACACATATTGCTCATCACTGGCTTGACTTGCAGCATGTCTTTCAACAAAAGCACATAGTGATTTAATCTCAACAGTAATTCAGTCTGCAGCATATGAGACAAGACTATCATTGCAGACAGGTGGTAATTTGTGAAATTCAGGTGCTGGGGTTCAGGACCACCTGTTGAATTTAATCTTGGAGTTATAATGTTAATGCCATCATGTAACTGAACAAAAACACTACATAGTTATCAGACTTTGGGACCTCTAGCCGTGGAGATGTGAACGTTTTCCTAAATGGTATCTGTAACTCTCTCCAGATTCAGTAAATCAATGGCCAGTTGAAAGCCTGTTGGAATTCTGATTCAATGTGCAGCAGCATATGGCTTGGTGGTCATCACATTCAGCATATTCTATAATTTTTCTAAAGCTTGATGTGAGAGTGGGACAAAAAAGCAATCAGAGTATCACCTGGCAACATAAAAAGAATAGAAAAGCTTTCACTTATCATCCCCTGTGTTAACTGGAAAAAAACATCTTAGTAATAGTCTAACAATTGATTTCTACCTCTGCTTAAGCAAGACTATAGGAAGATCCCAAGTAAACCTAAACAGCAATTTTGGGAGAAGACATAAACGTTTTACACGTGCACCTTCAGACAGCCATTGGAAATGAAACTGCCGAACTTCCGGCCAGTGAAATGGTAGCAGTAAAGTGACTACATTCTGAGCAGAAGTTTACGTTTACTTCAGTGGAACAATTGAAATAATGCCTAAAAAGACGGCATAGATTTTAGTATTTGCATTTGTTCCTTTGCTTGAGGTAGGGTAAACTTTGCTGAACCCTTTGGGTACGGAATTTTGTGAGAGGTTGGTTTTCTATGAAAGAATTTCATTGGTATTATCTGCTAAGACCTTCCTGGTCACATTTTTAATTCTCTGCTAAGAATTCCAAGGTCTTCCACACATATATATCATTCACATAACACTTCACAGTTTACAAAACCCTTCACTACAGATTATCTCAATTTCTCATACAGAGTTCCCACATTCCTTCCCCAAAAGGGCTGTTCTTCATTTTAATGAAATAAGGCTCTGATATATTGAAAATGGAATCCAACATATTTGTGTGAATGAACACTGTTTTGAAAAAGAACATGAGGGCATCATATTTTGATTTAGGCTATCAATATTCTTAGCTGGTGTCTGTCCAGCAGGAGAGCACAGGAAGGGAAGTATTAGCAATATCTTCCTAAAGGCAGATCAAAGCTTACAGCAAATTTACCTTTTGACACCCCTATTAACCAAAGCTTCACAAGTGCTAGATAGCCATTTCCACTAAACAATAGCCATGAAAATCCACCATGTTCATTATAAACACCACATTCCTCCACAGTGGGAAGTCAATGCACAAACTTTTCTAGAACTCCAGCCCTTATGGGTTGCTTGCACATGCAGATACAAAGTATGTAAAATCAGTCAACAACTTAAAGAGAAAACAGAAGCTTGTGAAAACAGAAATTGTGAAACTGATGGCCCTTTCTACTTTTAAGATCTACCACCAGCACCCTCCCCAGTAAATCACTTCCTAATGAAATCTCTCCCTCTTTTCTGCTTCCGTGAATTCTTCCCAGTGCAAGTTCCACTTTTTCAAAGAAACTTTCCTTGATCCTAGCCGGGCAGAGATCTTTCTCATTTCTGTACTCCAACAGTAATAACTGTTTATATCCAGTATTTCCTATACATTTATATCTACTGTCTATCTCTCTGTCATCTATCCATCCAACCACATTTCACGTTATGTTGTTTGTTTTCCCGCAGGCATTTAAAGATCCCTAAAGGCTGCGTCCTGCCTTAAATTCTTTTGTATCCTCCAAAATCCTTGCATTATCCATTGCACAAGTGAGAAGTATTTTGATTGCCACTTAAAAAAAGTTTGACTTTTTCATGCATGGTTAGAACCATCTTTTCACACAAAAGGAGCACCTGCTAAATACTACTTTGGTTCACAACCATACAACCTAGTAATACAAAAAGCAGGATAGCTGGGTGGTTTCAAGAAATCCTCTAGCTTTATAGGGCATATACAGAATGGAATTGTGTTTTAATAAAAATATATTAGCAGCTTCAAATAATGGGGAATACATTTAAACTGTATTAAAATATCTTTTCAGAATCAGGAAACTTGATTAGGATTCTCCCAGAGGCTTCACACACTGAAACGAGAGATTTATTATTCCAGGGAAAGAAGGCTCAATTTCTTAAAAATTCACCTTATTAATTATTAGCCAAGCCATGCAGCGGCTTCCCGGAAGGCAGAGGAAAATAGGCCCTCAACGATGAGTTTCAAGCCAATGGAAGCTGAGTTTGTGCCTCAAGCCTTCCGCGCTTGCCTGGGCACCGCTCCCCAGGGCTGTAGTAATTTAGCCCAGAGCATCCGAAGCAGAGATCAGATAGGAGTCTGCGAGCCTGAGTTGCGGCCGCGGACTGGCTGCTACTCAGCCTCCGGTTCCCTGTCGGAGGTAAGCTCGGGCTGGTACCCGCGCCACTCCCGGGTCTCCTCCCACTAGGGCGCGACTTGACTGCCAAACCCGAGGTTTCAGGAACCCTGCACCCAGCGATAGCTGCAATTCCGGGGATGAGGCGGTTCTAATTCCAGGGACAGTTCCTGTTAGGAAATTAGGCTTTGGGGTGCACCCATCTCATCCCTATTCCCGGAAAAACTTTGCTTCCTTCTCCAAATAGAAATTCACACCAAGTAGGAACTATCTTGTCCCACCCCAGCGGGTCCACTTGCACTTCCAGCCTCTGAATGGCACCTACTCACGGCGCCTCCCAACCCCGGGGAAGGGGGCAAGCTCAGGTGTACGGGATCCCCAGGCTGGGTGGCGGGAAGGCTGGCGAGCAAGCTGTCACCTTGTGGTCCGCCACGCCAAGGTATCCGTCCAGTGGCCGCGGTCCCGCGGGGGCCTCGGGGTGCGGCGGGGGGCTGCCGGTCGCCGCTGCCTGCTGCTGCTGCTGCGGGGGCCGCTCCTTCTGGCCGCCTAGGCTGCTGTACACGAGCAACAAGCTGGTGCACATGGTGGTGAGCGCTAAACACACTGCCAGACCATGGCGCTGCGGGAGAGCGGGAGAGAGCACAGGAGAGTCGCTGAGCGCCGACCCGGGCGGCAGGGACTCCGGCGCGACGGTCAGACGGGCGGGGGCAGCGGGGGTAGCCCGGGTCCCACCTTGGCAGCACGCAGCCCGGCAGAGGAGGCACCGTCGCCCCGCGTACTGCAGGGCATGCTCCCCGCGCGTCGCTGCTCTGGGCCGCCGCCGCCTCCCACATCCCTCGGCAGAGGACAGGTGGTGCGTGGCGCCCGGCTACGCGAAGAAGAGCGCGCCGGCGGCGTGAGCAGGGGTGGGCTCACACTTTGGGAGGGGGCCCTCTGCCCCAGCTCGGCTTTGGAATGTCTAGCTTCTCCCTTCTGGACCCGTGGGGCTCTACCTTGGCGATCCTTGCAAGTTTGAAATCCGACAAGGAAACCAAGAAAGTCTGCAAAGGTCCCCCCTTCCCGCCCCTCTTAGTTTTTTGCCAGGCTGTTTCGTTAGGGCATCCCCACCCCCGAGCAAGGCGCCCATCACTCCGTTTCTCTAGCTCTCCGCTGGCCGCTCGGAACTCCCGCCGGAGACCCAGGAGCCCAGCAACCCGAGTTCCCATTCGGGCTCTGGGATTCCGAGCCAGGCTGAAGCGAGGAATCGGGAGTGGACGCGGAGCAGGTGGAAAGTTGTCCCTTTGTAACGGGCGACCTCGCAGCGCAGGGTCAGGCACCCCGGAGCTCTCCCGTGCGCCCCGGGGACGCTGCGCCCGGGGGTCCCGCCTCTGCCCAGAGGAGTTATAACAAATGACTCACCACCAGGGTCTTCATTTTGGGCACCTCTTTTGTGCGGAATCCTCAGGCACACGCGTCCGGGGCCACTTTTTCTTGGAGGATTTCCATCGTGGGTGATGGGGCGGAAACGGCTCTGATTTTCGCCGGGCCTCCAGCCGCGACTGAGTGAGCAGGAAAGCCGCGGGACCCAGGAAGAGCCGCTGTTGCAGAGATTAGAGACAGAATTGAAGCTGAACCGGACCCTCGTAGTCTCTCAGCGATCTACACAACTGCCGCCTGCCGGGTCCTAAAGCCCTCTGCATTCCCCCCCTTCCCGCCCCCAAATAATAATCTTTTCAGTCGAGTAGAATTTCTGGGGCGAGAGAGTTAACCGTGCCCATATACCCACCTCTTGGTCCGAAGGCTTATTTATCTTTTATGAAGTCATCAAGTAAAAGGGAAGGAGAACCCTATTGGATTCTGAACATGATAGCCGTTTGAAAATTTACAAACTACGATTTCTGTTCTGTGATTTTGAGAAAAACAAGTCAACAGCCCAAATGTCAATAGCTCTATTTATAGCATTTGCGTTTATGTTCATAGCGTGGAGGAATCTGTCACGAAATAATTTTTTCAAAGAAATTATTGTTTCAGTTTTCCAATTGTAAGCTTTCTGATATTCTCTTCCCCTTAATTTTACTTTTTAAATCGAGTTATTCTCATGCAATCTTTATATCCTCATTTTCATCGAAATTATTTCATTCATTACTTGTTTTAAATATTATAGTTTATTTTTCTATCAGAACCTTGAGGTTCCTAGTGTTCATCTAAATGATATAAAAGTGTTAAGAACATTCAGCACATCATATCCACAGGATTAACTGGACCTGCAGATTCTGCCTAATTTAAATGAAAGATTTCTGGCTGCTAGAGCTAAAACTGCTTACTGCTTATTTTGTAAGAATCCTAAGGCCTTTGGTGCTCTCCTGTGTTGGTCCACTGCACTGACAGTACATAATTTCACATTCAGAACTTCAATTAAATTTTTTTTAAAAAATCATTTGTTTTTTCTTGGGAAATTCACATCCATAGCTTGTTTTAAGGATACTCTCCCCTCTCCCGCCCCACGTTGAATTACACATGGCATTTGTTAAATGTCTAATTTAGTTAAAAACATATTTCTTGTGAAATTGCTCAGCCAGCGAAAATAGTTGTCTTAATGTATTACTTAACACCTCACCTGTAGCAGCCGTAATGTTAAAGATTACGTTAAGATGGAAATGATCAGCAGGCCAACTGAACCATAGGCACAATTAGAGCTTTCTCAAGGCCAAAAAAGGCATTACAATCCTTTTTTAATCTTCACTAATCCGTTGCTGGACTGATGATAAAACAGGAACTATTTTTAACTTATGAGGCATCCTTCTATACCCAGTATTAAGAAAGTTAAAATTAATCGGTGCAACAATGACTATCAATGCAATGCATTTGGGGGAAAGTGAGAAACATATGGGATTCAGCCTTTCAAGGAAAAACAAAAAAATCCAAACACTGTCCAACATTGCCAGCCTTGAAGCTATTTATTCAATTTGTGCTTTAGGCATGAATAGTACCAGTTAGGGCAGAAAACGCAGCAGCCAGAAGAGAATCTTATTGGGTCTTGGCAATTCTTTATTGGATGGTTGCACTTGACACTCAAATTAGGGAAACAAAAGACCAACTTGATGAATCATTGCAAGCATATTATCTGTGTTTCTCCAGGGCTCCTTTTGAGATGCTACTAGTGGTAGCTTCTGCAGTTTTCAGAATCATTCCCCTTCTATCTAGTAAGTTGCCCAGTGACCAATAAAACACTTCTAATATGTTTTGCCATGTCAAACAGAGACATCATATTTATGATTTAAGCTCATGGCAGCATGTTGGACATCCATTACACAGTATGTCTGACCAAATTCATTAAGCTTATGCTTTTATTTTTTTACCTCCTGGGATAGCAGTTAGTGAGTAGCTAGATCTACTTATGAAATGACCAGGGTAAATTTGAAAAATGTAATTCTGAAGTTGATTTGAATAGTTTCAAGGTCTCTGGCTTTCAAATATTTGATTAGATTGATGCAATGGTTTTAGGCACTCTGGCCTGAGAGCCAAATGATCAAGGGGGAGTGGAGAAGGGCAGGTAAAACAAGTGACAAGTTAAAATCCTTGTGCTGTTTAATTCAGTGATCATTTAATGATCACCTGCTATTGGGTGGTTTTATATTAGGGAATGCAGAGAGGAATAAGGCACAGATCTTCTCACCTAAGAGCTCACAGCCTAGGGTTTGTGTGTGTGTGTGTGTGTGTGTGTGTGTGTGTGTGTGTGTGTGTGGTGTGTGTGAGACAAGTCTTCAAGTTGGCAATAAAAGACTGAGTACTAAAGATTCAACATATATTTGTCAAGTGCCTACCATGTCAAGCACCTCCTCTGGTGAGCACCTGCTACATGACAGGCATTGGGATACCTCGATAAATAGATCACATGCTGCCCTGAAGGAACTCACAGCCTACTATTCCCAAGTAACTGCCATGAATCTTTATATTACAAAAAATTAGGAAACCGTCAAAATACTTGATTGGTTTTTCAAATTCTGCGTGCTTGCTTATTATTACCTGAGGGGTTTGATATCATAAGGTTAGCCACCTCTATGTAACTTTTTGCACACTTCTAGGTTAATTTGAAGAGCCAGAAAGAGCAGAATATAGGCAACATTCACAGACACTTGATTGACTTGGAGACAAGCAGACAAGTCAGTAAAGCTTTTTTAGTTCATCTAACTTGTCCAGTTCAATAAGTTGGGTAGTCACAATTTGCTTCTCAAAATCCAGGTAGCTGAAATGGATTTCTCACAGTTTGAAATTTCTCCATATTTCTGCCTCTGGTGCCATCACATCCAATCAAATAGATTCTTACTTTTGAAAAAAAAGGAAAAGAAAGGAAAGGAAAGGAAAAGAAATTGAATGTTCCACAATGTAGGTTATGTGATAGGCTGAAGGCGATGATTTATGAAACAAGGCATGTCATGGGGCGAGGAGGAGTGGGGAGGTGGGACCTGGAGCTGGAGGGAGTGTCTGCCAGTGCACACGGCCAGGGCTATGGTGGTACCACAGCGCTCTGAGGGAGGCAGAAGACAGACTGCTGGAAACTAGTGAGCCCTGCCCATGACTCCTAAATGACCTCTCACATTAGAAACAAATGTTGCAAACATTCTAAAGATGTGTGAAAAGCAAAAGACAACATAAACTGCATTTGGGATGCAACTGATTTTCACCTTATGACCTTAAAGAAAAAAGGTTCTGCTAAATGCTGCAAGAGCAAAAAGCTTCATAATGGCAGAAAGTCCTAGAACAAAGTGGATACTTGTTCCTTAGTTTCCTTAACTCTCTTTACTTCTCAAGCTGTGCCTAATGGGCTGGCTGGCTGAGAACAAGTCCGAGGAGTCAGGTTGCCAGGACCCAGATTCTGACTTTACCAGTTCCCAGCTCTGTGACCTGGGGTAAGTTATTTAGCTGTGCCTTACTTTCCTTACCTGTAGAATAGCAACCGTGAGCACCTATCTCAAAGCTTTGTTGTGAAAGTTAAGTGAGATACCACAAGTGAAGTGTTAAGAGGAGTACTGACAGATTGTTAACCATGACTAATAATATTTTGATTATGATGAATAAACATCATAATGTTTATTTAAAGGTGAAAGACCAGGGTTTGACTTGGGTGACCAAGAGCTGCATGATGAGCAAAGCACTGAAAAATATTAAGCAGACTCTTGACTGACCTGTAAAATGACTAAACAAAGCCTAGCCCCCGCTTTGTTAGAGGGCTCATTAAGATGTAGACGTGACTGCTTTGTAAATGATGAAGCTCTGCATGAGCTAATAGTCATTCATTCATTCATCCAACAAATATCAATTGAGCATCTACTATGTGCCAGGCACTGTTCTAGGCCGTGAGGATGTGACAAAGATAAGCAAGCCTATGAGGCTTTATAGTCAAGCGAGGGCAATAAACTAATATAATAGAATAGCAGGCACTAGGGGAAAAAGCAGGGTAAAACAGCTAGAGATTGGGGTGGGGTGTAGCACTGTTTTCGCTAGGATAGTGATATTTGAGGAGAGATTTGAATAAAGGGATGGAGGGAGCCATGAGGCTATCTGGAGGAAGGGCATTTCAGGCAAAGGAAACAGCATGTGCAAGGGCCATGAGGTAAGAGCTTGGCTGGCATGTTGAAGAGACAGCAAGGAGGTCGTGTGGCTGGAGTGGAGGGGGTGAGAGGGAGACTGGTCGGGGGGGAGGGCAGAGATGTAGTCCAGGGCCAGGTTGTCTAGTGCCTCACAGACCATGAAAAGGACAGTGCGGGGCTTCTCTGGTGGCGCAGTGGTTGAGAGTCTGCCTGCCGATGCAGGTGACACGGGTTCGTGCCCCGGTCCGGAGGGATCCCACGTGCCGCGGAGCAGCTGGGCCCGTGAGCCATGGCCGCTGAGCCTGCGCGTCCGGAGCCTGTGCTCCACAGTGGGAGAGGCCGCAACAGTGAGAGGCCCAAGTACTGCAAAAAAAAAAAAAAGGACAGTGCGAAGGAAACCCATTCGAGAGTTTAGAGCAGAGGAAGGCCTTGGATCGTTAATGTTTTGGAAAGATCACCTGGCTGCTGTGCTGAGAAGAGCTTTTTGGGGGAGCAAGAGGAGGAGGGAGACCACTTAGGAAGTTCTTGCAGTGGTCTAGGTGAAGGAGGTGGTGGTGATTTTAGGAGTTTCAGGATGTGCTGAAACTGGGTATGAAACATGAGCACACGAAAGGAGGCAAGCAAGCGCAAGCCTTTAGGAGTGGGTGGCTTGGGGAACGAGACTGCTAGTTCCAAGATGGGGAATGCTGTGGGAACAGCAGGTTTGAGGGGCTGTGAATGGAGGATTTGCACTTAGAGGTGCTCAGTATGAAATGTCACAAGCGGTTGGAATTCAGGCATAATGCTGGGCTTAGAGACATGGGCAAAGCATCACAGTTCATGAAAGGGTGAAGTCACCTAGGGATAAGCCAGGACACAGAAGAAAAGAAGTCACCGGCCTGAGCCCTGGGAGCTCCAAATTCCAGATGCCAAGAATAGGAGGCATTATTACAGTAATGATAATACTGAAAAAACAGTGAATGACTCTCTGAACTTGATTTGACTTAGATGGCTGATTATTTTCATTTTGAATGGATTTTCCATTCCAAGACAGTGAGTCATTTATGCCTTCAAAGCACTTTTCAAATTCTCTTATTGTATCAAGCATAT